GCCCCCCCGCAGGAACCAGCCCGGTAAGAGCGCCAAGAGACCCCCGGCCAGCGACGCCACCGCCAAACCGGGCAAATGCCGCTCGCTGGAGGAAGCCCTGAAAGCCGTGAGTGTGCCCCCCCGGCCGAGACACACACCCCGGGCTGGTTGCCCACCCCTGGCTGCGGGTGGCCCCCGGGTGGGATTGGGGCAGATGGTCCTTCATGTGCCGGAGGTTGGGGGGGGGCATTTCTGGTTCCTTCCTTTCCTCCTCCCCGTCTGCCGTCTGGGGGGACCCCAGTGCTAGTGACACCTCCCTGTGTCACCGGCTGAGCTCCCGGGGGGCCGTCCCCGCAGCCCCTGCTCCCCGTGGGTCTGCAGAACCTGTTTGTCCTCCCCCGGCCTGTTCCACTGTCTGCCCAGGACAGGTTTGGGGAAGGAACCCCAAATTCCCTCTGTGGAGGTAGTGGGCTGCCTGGCAGGGCTCTCCCTTCACCCCCTGTCATGTCTCCCTGGGACCCCCTGATCCCTGCTGGGCACGAGGAACAGCTCCAGGCGGAATTCCGGGATGTTTTTGCCAGTGTCAGGGCAGATATTCCTCAGATGTTTTCTTTTTCTTTTTTTTTTTTTTCCCCTTTTCAAAACAGTGGCAGAAATAAACGTGCCACAAAAAGGTGCCCAGCTGAGGTTTAATAAGGTGCTGTGGCTGATCACCCCCACGTGCAGAAACGTTAGTGTCCCCCCCAGACTCTGAGCAGCACCCTGGGGGTCGTTAATCAGGTGGGGCTTGATGGTCTTGGCTCTTTTCTCCTCGGACTCCGGGCACGTGGGGCTGACCCTCTCCGAGCTGTGCCCCCGGGCTCCCTCCTGCCCCACACCAGCCGATGCCACTGTGCCCCTCGGTGATTTGCCCCAGGACCAGCCGATCCCGGGCGCTGCTCGCCGTGGGGCACCAAGGGTGACTGGCACCGGGGGGAAGGTGGGGTGTGGGGCAAGGAAAACCTCCCCAGGAGAGAGAATATCTCGTCCCCTTGGTTGTGCCGGAGCAGCTCGTCCTTCCCATGGCACCAGGGCCCCCGCAGCCCCTTTGGGGAGGGGTTTGGTTGCTCCCCATCATCCCCATTTCTTCACCAATCTGCAGAAAATGTGTTGCTGGTACAAAACTAAACAGGACTGGGCTCCCATTTGTGTCAGTCGGTGGTGGATTTTGGGGAGGGGGGGGGTTCCTTGTGGGGTTCTCGGGATGAAATGGGGAGTGTTGGGATGAAGGTGGGGAGTGTTGCCAACCCACCCCATGGGAGCTGAATTTAACTTTGTTTTGTTTCCCGTGCTTTTTGACCGTTTCTGTGCATCCTGGGCTGAGCCTGTCCCTCTCCCTTCCAGCTGGACCTGGCAGATCTGCAGAAGGAGCTGGATAAAAGCCAGAGCATGTTCCCCGAGAGCCCCTCCGTCTGGGTGAAGGACCTGGCCGGCTACCTCAACTACAAGCTGCAGGCCCCCTGCAGCGACCCCATGCTCAGCCAGCACCCCCATGGTCAGTGACCCCCAACCCAGGGCGGGGAGGGGGGGCTCAGGGGTGTCCCTGTGCTTTGGGGGGTGTGGGAGTTGGGGGGCAGGCGGTTCCCCGTGGCTGGGACTGCTTGGGGCAGGGGGGTGACGGGACATTGGGGTACAGGGACCCCCCCTGACTCCCCCTGGGCAGACTTACAGAGCTGTTTAGGGTGGGAAAGAGCTGTGGGATGATGGAGTGGGACCGTCTCGGCCGCGCTGGAGGGGGTTTGGTGCCATGTTTGCTGCCGGGTTTAAGAGCACGGTTAAAGCCTGGCTGGGAAAGAGGTGGTTTTTAGGAACATGGGAGCAGATGGGACCCAAAGAGCCTCAGATGTGAAAGGGAAAAAATCCACAAAACCTCCTGTTTTCACAAATCAGGTGGAGCCTGTCCTACAGTCCAGGCTCGTTCCCTGCAGACCCAGCCCTTTGGGTGGTTCTTTGCTTCCTCCCTCCCTCCTCCAAATTTTCTTTTTTTTCCTGTGCCAAGACTGTCTCAGGGAACTCGGTAATAGAAAAGGCACAGGAGTGTTCTTTATTCAACGTATAACGTGGGGATTATTTACTTGACTCTGGAAATCACTGCAGTTAACTTTCCTCGACTCTACGACAATAATACTGTCCTGGCAGTTGGCCAATTAGAGACTGTGGCCACCCCTTTTCCACAGGGACCCAAGTGCCTAATATTCTGTAATTCAGGACAAGCAGGTATCCCCACTCCTCTTAAAAGAGAGACTCTGGCTGTATTTTCCTTTTGTACCTGATTTATTGGTCTGCACTTGCTTTGAGCACTCGCTGCTTGGGGTGGGAACAGGGTAAAAGAGCAGAGAAATCTTCCCCAAACCTGTGTACATGGTGCAGCGTCAGCATTTGGCAGAAAAGCAGTGCTTTGTGGTGGAATTTGGTGTGTCTGATGTAGAATAACAGGGAGGAGTCCCTGGCTGAGGGTGTGGGGCATGAGGACGAGGTGTCCCTTGCGCTGGGCCACCTTCTCCTGGTGGCTAAAATCATCTCTCCCTGTGCTGGCCCCAGACTACCCCTACTGCCTGGTGGGCAAGGAGCTGAGGAGCATCATCCGGTCCCTGCTGGGAAAGTCCTCGGGTGTGCTGGAGCTCTTCTTTGACCACTGCGTCTACACCATGCTGCAGGAGCTGGACAAGACCCCTGGTGAGAGGTGGGGGGGGTGGGCTGGGGGGCACCAAGGCGCCATTCCCCTCCCATCGGCACAGTGGCTCTGCTGGTGCATGGTGAGGGGCTGCTCCTGCCCCCCAGCTCCTCTGTGTGATGCCTAAAGGGGCTCCAGGAAAGCTGGGGAGGGACTCTGGATGAAGGAGGGGAGCCCTAGGAGGAGGGGGAAGGGTTGGACACTGCAAGAGGGGAGATGGAGCTGAGCTGTGGGGAAGAACTTCTTTGGTGTGAGGGTGGTGAGAGCCTGGCCCAGGTTGCCCCAAGAAGCTGTGGCTGCCCCATCCCTGGGAGGTTGTTCTGGGGCTGGATGGGTCCTGGGGCAACCAGAAGCATTGTCCTGAGTGATGGCTTTCAGCCATGTGTCAGGCACAAACCCCAAATGCCCCTTTCTGTTCCACGCCATCAACCATCTCCTGCCCCAAATGGTTGGTGACCCTGCGTGGGGTTTCTTTCCACCCAGCCAGCCCCTGCTGTGGCCACTCTGCCCATCCTGGTGGCCAGCAGAGCTGGAGGGGGTCACTGAGAGCCACAGGGGTCCCCTGGACCCTCCTTCTCTTCCAAACCTGGACAAGGGGAAATGAGCCCTCAGAAACTCCCAGATTTGGGGCTGTTCCTGGGGCAGAGCTGGGCCAGGGGTGCTTTGGGAAGCTACTGGGGGTCTCAGAGGGTCTGTGGGGTCCATCCTGCTCCTGCACAGGGGGGTCCCGGGAGGATGGGGGCAGCTGAGGAGGGTACTTGACCCACAGCACCATGGTGGGGCTCCTACATGGGGTTCGTTAGACAGTGACAGGGCCAGTGGGTCGTCACCCCCCACCTTCTGGGGGTCTCGCAGGGGGATGGGGGGGAGATTGAAGTGGCCCATGGCTGAGGGGTCCCCTCTTGTGTTTCAGGGGAGTCCCTGCACGGGTACAGGATCTGCATCCAGGCAGTGCTCCTGGACCGGCCCAAAATTGCCACCATGAACCTGGGCAAGGTGAGCTCCTCCCGGGGCTGCTGCTGCTGCTCCCCTTCCTGCCCCGAGGGTCCCCCGCAGCCCCCAGCCGTTCTTCCTGGGAAGAAACGGCCGAGTTGGGTGATGGCTGCGGGGCTGGGGCTTGGGGGTCCTGGTGTGAGGTTTGTCGCCATTAACACCTCTCGTCTCCCCCAGTACCTGGAGGTGCTGCGCTCCCACCAGAACCGGCCGGCAAAGTGCCTGACCGTCCTCTGGGCGCTGGGACAGGCCGGCTTCACGGACCTCCACGAGGGCCTGAAAGGTGAGAGCCGGGGCCAGCGGGTGGGTGGTCACCCGTCCCCGCCGAGGGGGTGGCCCCCAGTCCTGCCTGTGGGTCCCTGCTCCCACCCGTGTCCCTGCTGGGGCACAGGGTCTGTCGAAACACCCTGTCCCACTGCTGGAACGCTGTGGGGGGTTTGTCCTGGGGGCAAACAGTGCCAGGGGGACCGGTGAGGGGACTTCTCTGCTCCAGGACCACCTTCCCCTGGGCTGGGACAGGGGAATTGCTGCATCCCAGTGGGAATGTCCTGCCTGGAAAGAGAGGGGTCACGCTGTCCTTCCCGAGGGGTCAGTCTGTCTATCTGTCTGTCCCCAGCCCCTTTAAGGGGGGGCGGGGGGGGTGGTTTGGTGCTGGGTTGGGATGTAACTGCACTCCTGGCACCCGAGCCTTCCTCTGCTTTTCTTGCGGGCCCCAGGGGCACTCAGGATGATGGAAGGAGCGGGGCCGGGGAGCCCCCGGTGTCATGGGGACATGGGGGGACACCAGGAGCCCTCCTGCCCCCCGTTCTGACCCCCCTCTCTCCACAGTGTGGCTCGGCGTCATGCTCCCGGTGCTGGGCATCAAGGCTCTCTCCCCCTATGCCGTGTCCTACCTGGACCGCCTGCTGATGTGAGTCACACCCCATGCTCATTACCGGGGCTTCGTTAAGAGTCCGGCTGCCTCCAGTGCCTCCACGGCTGCTGGTTCTGCTGTGGGAACACTGGGTTTCAGCACAGCTTTCCTCTCCGATGGTGCTTTCCCAAGATGATGGAGGGGGGCAGAGCCCTTCTCTGGGGATGGGGGGTGGCAGGATGGGGGGCTCCGGTGCCGCAGCAGCACCAGTGTCACTCTCCTGTGCCAGGAACAGGTGTCTCCGGTGCCAGCACGGCCCGTCTCCTGCCCCTGGCACAGCGGGAGGGTGGCTCCCTGCCCTTTCAAAGGGCTCGGGGGGGTTTAAGGTTGTTCTTTACCCTGCTCTGCAGTAACAGGAATGTTGTGTTTGGTTTCACTGGAGGATTTTACGGAGGTTCATTGAGCCAGAATTCACGGTTCCTCCTGGTCCTTCTGAACCTTTATTTAATTAGTTTTCTCCAATCTGGTTTCTTTGGCTGCGTTTCATTTTCTGGCAGACCCCGTTTGTCTGCAGCCTCTCAGGGGGGTGTAAAAAAGCACATTGCGTGTGACACCGGCCATGGGTGTGACACCGGCCATGGGTGTGAGTGTCACCCCTCGCTCCGGCCGCAGGAAGGGGCTCCCACAAACCCCCCCTTTTTCCTCTGTGCCCTTTGGCAACAGGGCCAGAAACCGGCGTGTGCCGGAGCCGGTGTGTCCTGCCAGAGGGAAACCTCCGGGGTGAGGGTGGCCCTTCCCTCTTGGGCTGCCTGTGGCCACCAGAACCTCTCTGGTGGCTCACGGATTTATTTTTTCTCTGCTGCACAGGATGCACCCGAACCTGACCAAAGGCTTTGGTATGATCGGACCCAAGGATTTCTTCCCCCTCCTGGACTTCGCCTTCATGCCCAACAACTCCCTGACCCCCAGGTATGCCCCCTACACCCCATTGCCAGGCTGTGCTGTGGGGCAAGCACCCCGCTCCCCTCACTGGCCACATCCCCGCTGCCGTTTGCCCCCCAGCCTGCAGGAGCAGCTGCGGCGGCTGTACCCCCGCCTGAAGGTGCTGGCGTTCGGCGCGCGGCCGGAGACGGCGCTGCACACCTACTTCCCCTCCTTCCTCTCCCGAGCGGCCCCCGCCTGCCCTCCCGCCATGAAAAAAGAGGTGAGCCCCCATCGGGGGGGCGCGTGGCCACCGGGCACCCAGACCCCGTGGTCCCATCGAGGCTCAGGGTAGCCCTGGTGTGACAGCGAGAGGGTCCCATCCTTCCTGCCCTTCCCGCTGGGGTGGGCACAGGGCTCTGCTGTTCACTGGCCCAGCACGGCTGGGCACTAGCCACCCCTCTTGTGGGCTCAGATCCCCCCTGCTGGGGATGGAGTGGGCAGTGGGAGCGTGTCCCAGCATGGGAGGGAGCGGGACCCCCCTGGGAGGATGGTGGTTGGGGGCTGTGGTTGCTGCCACCTGCTCCCTGACTCTGGACCCCCGAGTTTGGTACCCAGGAGCCGGCAGGTTTTTGGGGTGGTGGGCTGTGCTTGGGCACAGATGCACCAGAGGGAATGATGCATGTCCCCGAGGGGGTGAGGATGGAGTGTGATGACCCCCCTGTGCTCTCCCCCTCCCCAGCTCCTGACCTCCATGAGCCAGTGCCTGAGCCTGGACCCCCTGAGCTTCAGTGTCTGGAGGCAGCTCTACACCAAGCACCTCTCTCAGTCCAGGTCGGTCCCTGCCGGTCCCCAGAAGGGCCAGCACCGGCCCCGTGGCCATCAGGAGGGCAGCAAGTGGCTTCTGGGCACTCCTGACCCATCCCTGTCTCCTCCTTCCATCCCACAGTTTGCTCCTGAACCATCTGCTGGAGTCCTGGGAGAGCAGCAGCAAGAAGGTGGGAGCTGGGGCCGGGAGGAATGGGATGGGGAGGGGTGAGGAATGTACCCGTGTGGCTACGGGAGGTCCCCGGGGGACCTGTGTGTCCCCAGACATGTCTGCCAGCAGGGACGCTTCCCTGCCAGCCGTGAGAGCCACCTCAGAGTCCCAGGAAGGGGTGACGTTGCCCGTGGCTCTTGGTCTCGGTGCGGGAGCCTTGGAGGTGTCCCCAGTGTGTCTGCCCTCCCGGGGTCCCTCTGGTGCTCCCGGTGCCGGGGTCCCCGACGCAGCTCCCTCCTTCCTCCCCCAAGGTGCGTCAGTCGCTGCAGGAGACAGTTCGCTCCTTCAAGGTGACGAACGAGGAGCTGGCGGCCCGAGGGCCCAACACCCACCAGGACGTGACTGCCTGTGACGCCGCCTGCAAGGTGAGCCCCGGGACGGGGACCCCCCGGTGTCACCGTGTCACAATCGGCTGGATCTTGGCACCCCCCCGCCGGGGCTGCCTTCGCCCACTCCTGCTGCCGGCACGTGCCGGGAGCCCCCGCAGCGTCCCATCTGCGGGACAGATGGTGCTGGCCCCTCTCCATCCTCCCAGCTGCGCCGCAGATGACACTGGTTCCTGCTGGGAGGCCGGGGGCGGGCGGTGATGGGTCTCCCCCTGCCCAGGAGCTGCTGCACAAGATGAAGGGAAGGGGCTTCCCCTGGTCCCGGCTGCTGCTCGTCCTCCTCGTCTTCGCCGCCGGGTTCCTCTTGCATGACCTCCGGACCCATGGATCCTTCCAGGGTAAGGCTCTGCAGATTGTCCCTGGGGATCCCTGACTTCCCCCCTCTCCCCAGGGAAGCACCCCATGCCCCAGGGGAGCATGGTGGCCCCAGTCTTCTCTGGAGACATTCAAACCCCACCTGGATGCATCCAACCTGCTGCGGGTGACCCTGTTGGGCAGGGGCTTGGTCTGGGCAGTCTTCGGAGGTCTGGGAGTCTGTGTGTCCCTGGGGAGAGGCCCCAGGGACAGATGGAGCGTGTAGCCTGGCTGAAGCTTTGCTGAGGGAACGTCTTGTGTCTCTTCCAGCTTCCTCCTCTGCGCGCCTCCTCCGCTCCTCCAGCCTCTTGCCTGCCTGGCAGGCAGCCTGGCAGAAGGTCTCCTACTGCTGCCTCCAAGGGTACAGGTGGGTGGCAGCCTCCTGGGAGCCCGTTTTGCCGGGGAGATGTTCCCCAGCTCAGCCCTTGAGCTCCCCTCCTCCCGTGGCCGGTGGCAGTGGCTGCAGGTAGCCCCATGCCCGGTGGCTGTGCTGCCAGCACTGCCCTCCCCGCTCTCTCCCCCCAGGTGGCTGGAGTGGACGCTGCCCGCCTGTGGCTCCCAGGCTTTGGCTGTCCTGCAGCCACAGCTGGAGCTGCTCTGGGCTACGAGCAGCGAGCTGGCCCTGGCCCTGGCCCAGCAGTGCTCCTCCCTGCTCTCCTGGGCCAGCAGCAACCTCCCCGGGCTGGCAGAGTGGGTAAGGATGCGGGATGCTGGGGGAGACGAGGGATGCTGGTGTGGCTGCAGCCCACGGGGGCTTGTGAGGCTGAAGGAACCCTGCTGTGGGGGGTCCTGCTGGGGGGCAGGAGGTCCTGGGAGAGGCCCGAAGGAGGAAAGCGATGTCTGTGTTGCTGTCCCGGCCGTGGGGCTGCGAGCCCCCCCGGTGCTGGTGGGTCTGGGCAGAGGGACCGCAGCAGGGCCCCTGTGCCATTCTCTCCCCCCCATGGCTTTGGCTACCCACCACCTTGGGGGGCTCTGAAAGGGGAGGGCTCAAAGAGAAATCCCTGCTTTTCCTGAAAATCAGCGGTTTCGTGGGAGGGAGGTGTCTTCAGCATCACAGGTGGGTGGTGGAGATGTGCACGAGCCGCATGAGGAGGGCTCGGAGATGCCAGAGCACAGGGAGGAAGAGGAGGAGGAGGGTGACGCCGGGCCCACTGTGGGACACCTGACTTCAGCAGAGCCTCCGTGGCAGGTCCCCGGGACAGGGGTCTCCTCGGGGTACCCAGAGGCATCTCTCTCTCTCTCTCTGTCCCCCCAGCTCCAGACCCAGCTCCCCGAGGGGCTGCTGCACGTGGCCGAGTGCCTGCGGGAGCTGCTGCTCTTCCTGCTGCGGAGCTGCCTGCTGCCCCTGCTGCAGCTCGCCGCCGCCGCGCTGGAGCGGGGATGGCAGCACTGGGTGGACTCCTGCAGGTGGGCATCATCCCTGTGTGTCCCCCCACTCCTGGGATGGCAGCAGCAGCTCCCTGTGTCCCAGCTTGAGGGGGGGGTGGGTCCTGGTTCTGCTCTGGCCCAGGGGCTGGGATGTGGCCACCAGGGCTGGTGTGGTGCTGGCCACCCCCTGCTCGCCCCTGAGTCCCGCAGGGCTGCCTGGGGGTGCCTGAGCTGAGTGTCACACCCCCTGGGGCCGTGGGGAGGGGGGCAGGAGCCCGGCAGCCCCAGGGGGGTGTACAGCAAGTGCCTGGTGTCACCCCAGAACCAGCTCTGTGCTCCCTCCTGCCCCGAGTGAGGGGGCGGGGAGACGGTGCTCCTGGGGAGGGCATCCCAAAGGGGGTTCGGGACCTCTTATGGCGATGGATTTGGGGTTCACGGCCAGATTGGGGGAGAGAACAGGCACTGCTGCCTGCTCGAGGGGCTCCATGTCCCCCCGGGGGTGGTGATGCTGGGGCTGGGTCTGCCACCCCCTTTCCTGCCCCTAACTCCCCTCTCCTGGTTCTTCCAGCGGAGAAGTGTCGTGGGACTGCGTGAGGGACCACCTGACCAGCTTTACCTATTCCTCCTGGGTTTACCTGCAAAACACAACCCTCGCCGTCACAAACTGGGCCCTGGCGATGATTTCTGGACACTGACCCCCTCTCCGGAGGAGTGGGGACGTGGTTGCGGTGTCTCCCCATGCTCCGGCCACCGAGGAGCGTCCCCAGCGACACCGGTGCGGGCAGCAGGATGGAGATGCCGAGTGCGATGCACACGGGGACTTTCGGCTTAAATCAGGGCTTTTTTGTGGTTTTTTTTTTCCTCTCCTGGGAAGCACCCCGTTTTTCCACACCCTGTGAATTCGCTGTGGCTTTCCCTGTCCCACTGTCCCTCCTCCAGGTCGGAACGGGGGTACCCGGACACCTGCCCCCCGCGCCCCCCGCCCCTTCCACGGGTGAATGAACCGGACTCATCATTTTTTTTTCTTTTTTTTTTTTTTTTTTTTTCCTTTAACTGGCCGCCTAAGAGCTGTCTCTACAATGAGGTCCCCTTTCTGTCCAAGAACAGGAGATGCAGGTCAGAGGCTCTGATGGGGGAAAAAAGCACCGATTCCTGAAATTCCAGGCTCCGGGAAGCACCAGTTCCCCCCCCCCGGGGGCGAGGGGGGTGTGGGGGGGTCTCTGGCGGGGCTGGGAGCCCCAGCAGGGCGGTGGCTCAGCCCGTAGAGCGCCGGGTTGGCATGCGGGAGATGCAGGTTCGATACTCGCCTCTGACATTTTTGTCTCTGGAGAGCGTGTGTGTATGGGGTGCGGGGGGAATGTGTGTGTGTGTGTGGACACGCGTGTGTGTGTGTGTGTGCACTGCTCTGTGTGGATGTGTTTGGGTGTGTGTATTTATATAGGGTGGGCACACGTGCATGTACATGTGTTTGTGTGCACACGCGTGCATGTACATGTGCCTGTGTCTATAATGTGTGTGCACACAGATGTGTATATGGACGTGCATGTGTGTGCATACATGTGTATAGGTGTGTGCATACATGTATGTATAGGTGTGCATGCTTGTGTGTACATGTATAGGTACACGTGTGTCTATAGGTGTGTGCACATACATGGCTGCACATACACACGTTATATAAACGCATGTGTTTACATGTGCATGTATGTATAGATGTGTGCACACACGTGCACATGCGTGTTCTTTTGCACGTGTGTGCGTATACCTGTGTGTGTGAGTGTATAGACACGTGTGTGTCGCGCACACGTGTGCACAGCTGTGTGTGCGTGCTCCTGTGCACACGCGTGTGCGCGTGCCGGCTCTGTGCACACACCTGTACGTGCCCGTACATACGCGTGCGTGTCCCCGCGCGCCACCGGGAGGGGGCGGGGTCGTGAGGGGGCGGGGCCAATAGGAGGCGTGTCCCACGGGCGGGTCAGGGGCAGCGCTGCGGCCGGTTGCCGAGGCGCCGTCCAATAGGCGCGCTGGTTGCTAGGGGGTGGTGGGCCAATGGGCGTGCGCGTTGCTGTTGCCAGGCGGCGCGGCGGGGCGGGCCGGGGCGATGAGCGGGCCGCGGCGGCCCGGCAGCCATGGAGATCCGCTGCGGCGGGCTGCTCTTCAGCTCCCGCTTCGACTCGGGGAACCTGGCGCACGTCGAGCAGGTGGAGCCGCCCGGGGCCGGAGGGGGGCCCGCAGGCTGCGGCGCCGCGCTGCCCCCCGCCGACT